CCGCTGCAGCACGTAGAGCCAGGCCAGGCACAGCGAGGACTCAAACGCCTCCTCCTCCCCCAGCAGTCTGGCCAGATCTGCTGCTCTAGCTGCATAAGGGATGGCTCCATCCAGCAGGCCGTGCTGGAGGTACATCCTGGACAGCACGGCACAGAGCGTCCTCTGCATGGGCATGGCCCTGCTCTCGCAGCAGAACTGCAGAGCCTGCCTGAGGTACAAACAAGCCACTGCTGGGATGCTGCTCCTGTCCTGCTGCTGCCTCCCCAGAAGCTTGGAAGCATTTTGGAGGATGAAGCCGGCTCTCCAGATGGGGGTCGGTGTGCCCTTGGTGCTGCTGGGAACAAAGGACCTGACGGAGGCCAGCGCGATGTTCGGCAGACACTTCTTGTCGTAGAGGTAACCCAGGGTGGCAGTGGCATCCAGGGGCCCAGCACGGCTGCCTGGGCTGAGCCAGGTGGTGCTGAGGCACTGGAGATGCTCCAAAAAGGGCAGCACCTCCTCGGTCCTGCCCAGCTGCAGGAAGAGTTTGACAATGAGGAAGCAGATCCGGGCCTCCAGCGGGGCATTGCCCACGGCGATGGATTCCCTCAGGATGTAGGTGAGGAGCTCCAGCTCGTTCTCCGAGCTGAAGGAGCGGCCAGGCAGGCACACGAGCAGGGTCACCGTCTTCCCCAGCAGGGAGGAGAACTTGTGCTTCATGTTCTGCTTCAGGTAGATGGAGGCGAGGCTCCCGTGCAGCGCTGCCAGCAGGGGCAGGTCCCCAAAGCCTCTGTCCAGGACACTCATGGCTTCCTCAAAGTACACCCGGGCCTGGGAGAGCTTGAGCTTTTTGATGCAGAGCTTACCCAAGAGGAAACAGAGCCTGACGTGAGCCCAAACTGAGCGAGTCCTCTTGGCCCAGTTCCGGGAAGTCTCGAGGTACAGGACCAGTTCATCCTCATCAGAGAAGCCATAAAAAGTGGAGTGGAGAAAGGAAAAGCTGAGATCATAAAAGCTTTGGAAACTGGGCACGAAACTGTCTTGGTTGAGGAAGGTCAATATGGGGTCAAAGACATCAGCATCCTCCATGTGGCCAGCGTTGAGGTCGATGAAGAATTTGGGATAATCCAAGTCATCCAGCTTCTCCAGGAGAACATCTTCCAGTGTGGCAGGGGCTATTTCACTGCCTGGGCTGGACAGCTCTGAGGTGCTGCTGGTGGCCCAGTCATTGATCTCCTCCCAGGGCTGGAGCACCTGGATTTCTTTACTGCCATGGAGAGCAGCCTCTGGAAGGGACAGGGAAACCACAGAGGGATCAGGAGGAAATTCTTCCCTGGGGCTGCCCCACCCCTGGAAGTGTCCAAGGGCAGGTCGGACAGGGCTTGGAGAAACCTGGGATAGTGGAGGGTGTCTTTGACCATGTCCCTGGATGACCTTTAATGTTCCTCCCAACCCAAACCATTCTCTGATATTTCCTCCTGTCCAAGTTCACCCTCAGCAGCCATCACCAAAGCTTCCCCCTCTGTCCCTTCCTCATACTCACCTGGTGGCACTTGTGGGAACACAGCTGTGGGTTCAAACCCAGCTGTACAAAGAGACAAACAGAACACAAACCCCAAATCTTTGGTCAGTGTCAATGTGCAGAAATCAGCTGAAGTCCCAAAGCCACCCAGCCAGAACAGAGAAAGTGAGAGCCCCCAGAAACCCCAACCCTGGTGCTGCAGGCCAAGCTCAGTGGAGAGCAGCACCTGCCAGGGTGAATCCCAGCTCAGGAGCTGCCCTGGCAGCAGAGAAGGGCCCTGCAGACTCCAGCATGGCAGGGTCACCTCCTGAGGACACCTCCAGCCTCCGTCACCAGACTGAGCACAGGTGTCACAGACACTTTTTATGGAAAATCCTTTTGTTAGGGAGAAATGAGAAATGTAAACAATGATTATCTGCTGCTGTGGAATGCAACAAGTGGATCTGTGATTGGTGTCATGTGGTTGCTTCTAATTAATGGCCAGTCACAGCCAGCTGTCTCGGACTGTCCCAGCCAGTGTCAAGATTTTATTATCATTCCATTCTTTTTCCTTTCCTTCAAGCCTTCTGATGAAATCCTTTCTTCTATTCTTTTTAATATAATATATATAATAAAATAATAAATCAGCCTTCTGAAACACGGAGTCAGTCCTCGTCTCTTCCCTCGTCCTGGGACCCCTGTGAACTCCACCCCACGCAGGTTTGTGCTGCCTCCACCCCAGAAGGTGCCTCCACTGCACCCCAATGATCTTGGGGCTCTCCAGGCCTGCCCAGCTCTCCCTGGGGATGCAGGACTGGGATATAAAGAGAGGGGACACTCACCCAGCCTGTACACAGAGGTGATGTCCGTGTGTGCCAGGTCCCCCAGGAGGGTGGCAAAGTGCTCCTCGTCACCATTGCAGGGGATGTGCAGCACTGGGGACTTCTCCTCTTCACTCAGAAACACAAAGCCCTTTCCCCTGGGGTGGGGCAGGAGAAAAGAATCAGCGTGTGCCCAGCCCCTGGCACTGCGGATGGCATGGCATGGCATGGCATGGCATGGCATGGCATGGCATGGCATGGCATGGCATGGCATGGCATGGGAAGTTTCCCCATCCCTTCTCTTTCTCCCACCACAGAAGTTGTGTTGCAGATGAACAAAGGATTCTGGACACCTTCTCCATCAAGGTTCTCCAAGAAGGAACAGAAAGGCACCAGAAGAAAGGGCTTATTGGTCTGGTTTGGAATCCAGAAGCCACAGGACACCACCTGATCTGCTCTGCCTCTTCTGGAGTGTCAGAGAAAAGTGCTACAACTCACCTGGAGTGACTCTGAGAGGGGAAAGCCCAGCAGACCTTGGTTAAAACCTTGTCCTCCTACCCACACTCTTGGGATGGGCCTCGAATGGAAGCCACCACCAGAACCAGCTGCTGAGTCAGGGTGGGATTCACCACTCTCCCTCCCTGGACAGCTCTCCCTGTGTCCTTGGGAAGGTGTGAAATTCTGCTCTGTGCCAGCTCTGCCTCCACACCCAGGGCAGGAGGAAGGAGAGCAGGATTTGGTTTCCTGGGCAGGGAATACTCTCCCCACCCTTGCCAGGCTCCCAGCCCCTCAGAGCTACAAACTGAACATTTCTAGGACAAACTGGGAAGCCAGATTAGCCCAGGGCTGGATCTGTTCCTCTCCAAGAGCCACCTGAGGCAGGTGAAATGCAATTTTTTTTGTCTGGGCTGCAGCAGAGCCTGGCCAAAGCTTCTGCTCACACCTCAAACCCACCCTCTGTGAAGGTTCTGTAAGGGGAATCGCCTGCCCTAGGCTCTCACACAGCCTTGGGGTGGGATTTGGAGCCTCCCCTCCCTTTTCTCCAGAATTTAATTTAAATAAACTCACAGGGGTTCGCAAGGTTCGGGGTTTACGTGTCGGGTGGGAACAAAGCCGATGCTCCTGGTGCTGAGGGATTTGCCCACAAACCAGGGCAGCCCAGGGATGAAGAATCCAATGATTTCTATGGCATCTCCTTTGGAGAAGCTCAGCTCATCCCATGCTGCTCCTCTGTGGTCCTTGGTGGCGATGCACCTGCCTCTGACTGGGAAACCAAGGCAAAAAAGGGAATTTCAGTGGGATCCCTGCTAAAACCTCCTCACTGGAAAAGACCTGGGCAGGGAGAGGCCATGATTCCAGCTGGAGAGGGCTGCCCCTCTCTCCCCTAAGATTTATTGTGATCTTGGGTCCAGCTCCCTGCCTTTTCTCCTTGAGACGTGGGTTATAGTACAAAATAAAAGAGGGATGGATAAACTCCGCCCCTCTCGAGCTGCAGCCTGGAAGGTGGCTGGAAATACAGATTTTCACAGAAAAATCCCGGCCCTATCTCAATTCTGCCAAATCCTGGACAGTGCCAATGTCCATCCCTACATGACAAAGTCACAGCTGCAGGGCCCTCCTGTGTCCAGCTTGCTCTGAATCGGACTGGACTGGGCTTAAGAGCTGGATACAGGGCACAGGTTTCACTGGACCTCCTGTGTCCAGCTTGCTCTGAACCGGACTGGACTGGGCTTAAGGGCTGGGTGGAGGACACAGGTTTCATGTGAGCACAAGGTGGGAACCTCACGATTTGAAACCTCACCCCTGAAAGAATGAAAAGAAACATAAAATTGAAGTAGGGCAGGGAAAAGCCAGTGGCAGGAGGGGGTCACCAGCAGCTCTCTGTGCTCCTCAGAACGTGGTTTGCAAGTTCTGGTCTGCATTCCAGAGGGCCCAGAGGTGCTGCATTCCCTCAGAGCCCCTGTGGCAGGGTCAGTCCCAGAAGAACAGATGGATTTGTGGCCAAACCCAGGTTTGGTGCCCAGCCTGGGACAGTGCCCAGGTGTCACTCACCAATGGCCCGAGAGCTCGTCCCGCTGATCTCCTGGGAGAGGCCAAAGCTCACAGCATAATTCCTCAGGAACCACCTGCAGGGAAAGGGGACCTCAGTGGTCCTGGTGAGCACTCCTGAGCTCAGGCCAGCCCAGGGATGGTGTCCCACCACAGGGGAGGAGCAGGATAAATTCGCCATCTTTAGGAAAGGTTTCTCCAAGCAAAAGGCTCAGCCAGGTGACCAGTGTGAAGCCCCACTTTGGCTCACATTGCCTGAATTTTTTCTGCCACTTCTTCATCTGTTAATCAGAGATAACCTCATGCATGACCTCAATCAATATCTTACAAAAACCACATCTGAAGTAGGAGCATGTCCTTGCTGTGACTCATTGACTGCACCTGCATTAATTCCAGGTTTTATGCCTAATTCCAACCCTCCTGGAAATATCCTCACAGAATTGTGAGGCTCTTGTCCTTTGCCAGAGGCAAGAGGAGCTTCCCAGCCAGCCTTGGTGCCAGTCATGCACCAGCATCAGGAAAGAATCCTGGTCTGAGCCCTTTCATTCAGCACTTACTGGTAAAAGGGGTGAGCTATTGGCTCCAGAGCAGTCACGGGCACCACGCCTCGCTGTCCCGTCAGCAGGGACATCCCTTCCCATCTGGAATCCTGTCCAGCACTCTTCACATGGACCAGCTCATTCCTGCAGAGCTGCAGACCCTCCTCTCCCTCCTGCTCCAGCTTGCAGACCCCGGGCACTGCCCTGCAGAAGAAGTTCCCTGCAGAGAGAGAGTCAGAGGTGGCATCAGTGCACCAGGGGCTCCAGCCCAGCCCTGCTGGGGGATTTTCAGGAATTCCCCATGTGCATTCCCATCACACCTTCCTGGAGGAGCAGATCCATGTAGATGGTGGCCAGGTGCTCCTCATCCACAGTGACCCTGAGCTCTGTGTCCTCCACCAGGGCACAGTCCAGCCAGAACTCCTGGGCAAGGAGCAGCTGCTCCAGGCAGGTCCCCACGTACCCTGAGAAGCCAAGAGGGGCATCAGGATCAGCACCTCCCTCTCTGGGCAGCAGGAAGGGTCTTGGGGATTTCCAAATGTCAGGCAAAAGCTTCTAATTATGTCTCCAAAATTTCCCAAACAGAATCCTCCCAATTCTCCCGGATCCAAACAGAGATTTCATAAACAACAGATTGCAAAGTTTTCTAATTCATCTCTCACTGTCCATCTCTCCTGAACATTACAGTTCTGTAGTGTCAGGCAATGCCTTCTCCAAAAACCCTCCTCACACTGTCTGTTTAGACCTTAGAAACATTACCTAAAGTCAGATAGGTGGAAAACTTCCAGACTTCCTCAGGGGTTTTGAAGGTGAGGAGGAAGCGATCCTCGTGTGCCTGCGTGCAGACCAGCCTGGCTGACAGCTCCTGCACAGGGAGACAAAGCAGATCAAGGGACACTCCTGGAGCCGTGAAACCCAGCAGGGAGGGAGAGTTCAGTCCAGGCATCCTCTCTGTAGCTGGGATTTGTTTGTATAAAACCCAGTCTGAGAACTCTGTGCCTCTCCAGAGCTGTTCCCTCCAGCAGGGACATGGATTTGGTGATCCCAGCCCTGGGAATTCCTATTTAAGCTCAGATCTCCCAAAACATCCCAAGGCTCAGCTTTGCCCCTCCCTTGCCATCAGTTCATATTCCCCATCATTCCAGTCCCTCACAGAGTCCCCCACAGTGGGGTTGGAGGAACTCCTCAGCTGGGTTTGGCCCCCCAGCACACCTCCCACCATTCCAGGAGCATGCCAGCACGCTGGCACAGGGTTTGTACCTTGAAGAGGGCACAGACACTTGTGTCATCACTCTCCAGAGCCCACAGCCTCCTCCTGGCAGCCTCCTGGAGCTGGGCATTGCGGCACCCGCAGGAGCGGCTCTCCACGGAGAAGGAGAGAGAGAGCTCTGGGAAGGGAAAAGAAGAGGGTGGAAGGGCAGGAGGAGCTCTGGGGCACCCACAGCCACCCCTGCCACCCTGCCAGGGCCACCAGAAACCCAGCTGTGGGCTGAATTGAAGGCACTTGAGATGATATTTCAGGTTAGGACTCAGGTGTTTATTATTTCTTATCAGTAAAACAGCCTCACTACTGTGAGTTCTGCAGCTTTTCATTAGAAGGCACAACATTACCAACAATCTCTTGTTGCAAGGTCTTTTAAGAACTATCCAATTAAGAACTGACACCTTGATTATTTCCCCTTTCAACCCAATAACTGATCCCAGAGACCCCCCCCCAGAAAAGTGTGAACTTTTCTGCCCAATTACAAAATGCCACCCAAACCCATGGAGAAGGAGGAAGAAGAAGCATGAAGAAGAAACCCAAGATGACACCCTGTGCCCTCCATCTTGCTTCCACCCACAGCACACTATAAACCTCAAAATCTAATTTTCTCACCAAGTGACACACCTACACTGCTCTCTACAATCTATTGCACACTTTTGTGGTTTCTAGTCTATTCTGGAGTTTAGGGAACTTTCTCCATGATTGAGGGTCAAAGTCAGTGCTCCCATGGGGGTCAGGGCACCCCAGAGCAGACAGAGGAACATTCCCTGTGTGCCCTGGGTTTTCCCATCCAGCCTGCTGTGATGCTCACACAGCACAAGCCCAGCCCATCCCCATCCCTCAGCACCAAGGTGAGACCCGAGGCACTGCAGGAGCCAGGGAAAGTGTGAGGTGCCCCAGGAGCTCCTTACCTGGGGGACAGGTGTTCCTGAGAGCCAGCAGCACCACCGGGGGCTCCGGGGAGCCGTGTCCTGCCTCAGGAGCGGGGCTGCTCCTCCCTGCCAGCCCAGCCTTACCTGGAGAGGAGGGAACAGCAGAGCTGCTGGGAATGCTGTGCACAGCTCTGGGATGTCCTGCCTCGGCTGAGAGCTCCTGGAGCACAGCCCTGCACCTCTGCTGGGGACCTGCAGAGCTCCTGGAGCACAGCCCTGCACATCTGCTGGCACTGGGAGACTCTGGAACCAGCCTGAAGTCGTGCTCAAGGCTGGAGAGACCCGTGTGTGACAGTGTTCACAGGGGTTCTTGGATCAGGGAAGAGACAAGGATCTGACTTTATGTTTCAGAAGGCTTGATTTATTATTTTGTGATATATATTACATTAAAACTATACTAAAAGAACAGAAGAAAAGGTCTCATCAGAAGGCTGGCTAAGAATAGCATAGGAAAGAATGATAACAAAAGTTCTGTCTCGGAGAGAGTCTGAGCCAGTTGACTGTGATTGGCCATTAATTAGAAACAACCACATGAGACCAATCCCAGATGCACCTGTTGCATTCCACAGCAGCAGATAATCAATGTTTACATTTTGTTCCTGAGGCCTCTCAGCTTCTCAGGAAGAAAAATCCTAAGGAAAGGATTTTCCATAAAAGTTGTCCATGACACCCATGGGAGTGATGGGGTCTGACTCCATCATTCCCTTGATGTTGGGTTTTTTTCCAGTGCTGGAGTGGCTCTGGAGTGAGGAGATTTCCCTCCCTTTTCCTGGCCAGATCCTCAGATGAGCAGATCTGTTAAAAGGGTGAATCCCCAGCAGAGATTTTTTTTGGAGGAGGCTTCAACTCCCCAGCACAGGAGAGCCAAGGCCTTGCAAAACTCTTCATTCAAAAATTCGAAAATCAAAATGAGATTTTCTCCCCTGCCTGCTTTTCTGGGTGTCCAAAACCCAAGCAGCATTCTCCCTGCTCCACACATCATCAGCCATTGCCATAAAGGATTCAGGGCCTGCTATGTGAGCTGCTAATTATGTTAATGAAAGCTGAGGCACACACAGCTCCAGCCCTGCTCTCCACAGCTGCATTGGCAGTGGAGGGATAACCAGATTAAACCCCAATTTTTGTCAGCAATCAGACAGGATTTGTAAGATAAACATGTACCTGGAGATGTGGAGCTGGAATGTGCAGCAGCTTTTTAAAGGCATTTCTTTGACCAGAACTCTGCTCTACAGCTCTTTTCACTGAGCCAGCTTTGCCAGCCACTCAAACTAACTGATGTTTGCATTCAGAAATAGAATTCTTATTTAAAGAAATAGAATTCTCATGTAGAGCTAGCAAGTAGAAAAGAACAGCCCAAGGCTGGACAGGCCATGAATGAGTTTTGCTTTGAAAGAAAAGGGTCTACATTGAAGAAAGTCTCTACATTTCATGTGGCAGCTCCACATGAGGAAATGGAGAAGGGGAAGTGAAGGGAGGCAGAACTAAATCTGAGCTGGCTCCTGCCATTGCTCCACTCCTGGCTGCCCTCCTCCCTTCTCTGTGCCCACAGAGCCTGGCAGGGTCTGGGGAGGGTACCTGGTGCCATTCCCTGGGGATGGAGATGGGGATGGGGACGGGCATGGGGATGGGGCTCTAATGCCATGCCCTGGGGGTGGGGATGTGTACCTAATGCCATTCCCTGTGGCTGGGTACCTGATGCCATTCCCTGGGGGTGGGTACCTGATGCCATGTCCTGGGAATGGATCCCTGATGCCATTCCCTGGGGATGGGGATGGGGATCTGATGTCATTCCCTGAAGATGGGGCCCTGATGCCATTCCCTCAGGATGGAGATGAGTCCCTAGTGCCATTCCCTGGGGATGGGGACGTGTCCTTGGTGCCATGTCCCATGGATGGGTACCTGATGCCATTCCCTGGGGGTGGGTACCTGATGCCATGTCCTGGGGATGTGCCCCTGGTGCCATTCCCTCGGGATGGGGTTGGGTACCTGTTGCCATGTCCTGGGGCCGTGTCCCTGGTGCCTTGTCCGTGTCCGTGTCCCTCCACCATTGTCCCCGGCGGTGTGGGCTGTCCCCGTGGGGCAGGAGCTCAGGGGCCCAGGGCCAGCAGGACTCACACTCCTCACCTGGAGGGGGGGCAGAGGCGTCCACACCCCTGGCAGGGTCCTCCCGGCCTGAGAGGTGTCCCTGGGGTGTGACAGGTGGGACGCTGCTCGTGCCACCCCTGCCAGCAGCAGGGCACAGCCCGTCCATGGGTCCCCAGTGCTCACTCCAGTTGCTCTCGCAGCTTCAGTGTTTATTTTCATTTGAGCCAGCTCAGAAAGGGAACTGGGAGCTTTCTTTTCAAGAGACCAATTGAAACTGCAGCTGGGGAGTTGTTCCCAGCCGTGCCAGTGACTCACTGACCTCCTCAGTGCCAAAATACTTTGTGCCAGTGGGCAGCAAAGAGCTCCAGCCCCAGGCAGGTCCCAGCACTCAGGGCTGCACTCCTGGCTCCAGGGCTGGTGCTCAGGGCACCTTCTGGCCCTGGCTGAGCCATGTCCCTCCTGCAGCTCACTGGGACACCCTGGAATGGGAATGGTGCCCTGGGGGATGCCAGCACCCATGGGCTGTGCTTGGAGGGATCCTGGGCAGGGAGGGGAAACACCAACAGCATGGGAATAAACCAGCCCCAGAGTCACCCTGTCCCCTCCCTGGCCAAACCGTCCTGCCTCACTCTCTACACATCCCAATCCAAGAGGAGAGAGCACAGGAGCCATCCCAGAGGAAAGGCAGAGGGGCCAGTGCTCAGTGCCAGGGTGTCCCCAAGGCTCCCAGCCCATGGCAGGAGCCCTGCAGCCCCACGGGCACCTTACCTGTGCATCCCAGCGCCAGCTCCGGGTGCCAGGGGGTCCCCAGGCAGCAGCCCATGTGTGCAATGACAGCAGCACAGGGCTGGCACAGGGCTGGCACAGGGCTGGCAGGGGCAGGGCTGCTCGCTGCCCGCCCGGCACGGGGCTGGGCACGGCCACAATGCACAATGTCCCCTTTGAGAGGGCACTGCCACCGCGGGGGCGGCGGGCACGGGCGCAGGGCGGGCACAGCAGGGACTCACTGCAGCTGCCGGTGCTGGAAAGGGCTTTAAGGGCATCAGTGATCTTTGGAAAGGCCTTTAAGGGCATCAGGTCTGGTCACACACCTAATAGTGCCAAGGGCACCACTAGACCATGTCCCTTAGTGCCACAGCTATGTCCTTTAAATGGGGACTCTGCCATGCCCTGGATGGGCTGTGCCAGTGCTTACCGAGCCTTTCCATGGAGAAATTCTCCCTGATATCCAACCCTGGTGCAATTTGGGACCATTTCCTCTCCTCCTGTTCCCATTCCCTGGCTGTCCCCTCCTGTCACAGCTGTGCAGAGCCAGCAGGGCCCCCTGAGCCTCCTTTCCTGCTCTCTGCCTCCGGGAGGGCAGTGCCCATCCCACATGGCACATTCCTGCCATTCCTCCCCTCGCTCTGCCAAGCCTGCCCCAGCTCCCAGCTGCTCTCCCCCATTCCCAGGGGCAGAGCTGCTCCCTCACCTTTGGGGGTGTCCACCTGGGGCCCATCCAGCGTCCTCCTTGTGGGTCTGGCTGTGATCCTGCTCCTCTTCCCTGCCTGATGCTTCTCCTGTGTCACCCTGGGGGCAGCTGGCAGCACCATGGGCATCTCTGGCACCCACAGCCAGGTGAGTCCTGCAGCCCGGGCACTGTGGGCACCTCGGGGACAGCACTGAGCAAACCCCAGCTCCAACAACAGCAGGAAGGGCTTGGCTGCCCTGCAGGATCCCTTGGGCATCCCAGGATGAGGGTGAGCCTCATTCCGTGCTCACTCACATCCTCAGAGCTTCCCCAACCCTCGGGATTTGGGGTGCCTGGGAGGGCTCACTGAGCGGTGCAGGGTCTGCAGAGCATCTTTGGGCAGCAGCAGCACAGCCCCTGCAAAATAAAACCCAAAGGGGTTTAGGGAGAGAATTTTCAGTCTGGGAGGGGTTTTAGGGATGGGTTTTTGCTGCAGCAACCAGGCAGAGCCACCACTGCAGGGATTTATGTGCTGGGGGTGCTCCAGGAGCATTGCTGGCTCTCCCAGGCTGCATCCCAGGCCATGGACTTCTCCAGAGCAGGGAATAATTAATCCAGGGATTAATTATTACATTAATTATTATAGTAGGGAATAATTAGGCCAGGCTGGATGGGGCTGTGAGCTCACTGGTGCAGTGGAAGGGATTTAATGCTGGGATTTAATATTTTAATATTTAAATTTTTTTAACACAAATGTCTTCCTTTGTGGTTGTGAAATGTCTTTTTGTTTTTAAGTCTACCTTGACAACTTAACAACCAAACCCATCCCTGTACAAGCAAAGGTGTCACCTCCTGTTTGACCTGAGCTGGAATTTGCCTTTTGGCCAGCAAGCTGAAAACCTCTCACTCCACTTCCTCCCCTTCTGCTTCCCAACAAATAAATGCTGGATCTGCCTGGGAGAGCCCCCATCGCTGCTGCTGCTGCTGCCTGGCCTCCCTGGAAAAGCCAGGGACAAGTCTGGAATATTTCCTGGGACCTCAGCCTGTTCCAGAGGGGGTTCTCTGCCTGTGCCCGCTTTCCAGGGGCTCTGCTCCCTCTGCAATCCCAGTGCCAGCCACACTCCCTGCCCTGGGCACAGAACAGGGTCAGAGTGGCTGTGCAGGCACCCTCGGCTCGGGGACAGAGCTGCCACCAACCCCAGAGCTCTGGGGGGCTGACACCCAGCCCTGGCACCAAAGCCGCTTTCCCAAACCCATTTCTCAGTTCCCAAAGCTCCCAAACCCTCCTGTCCCTCCCTCCGTACCCATCCCTGAGCCCCTGGTGCCAAAGTACCCAAACCCTCTTGTCCGTTCCTGAGCCCCTGACCCAGGCAGCGCCAAAGCCCCGAACTCTGCCCTCCAGTCGGGAATTCCAGAGGCGCTGGATCCAGCCTGGATTCCAGAGGCTCTGAATCTCTCCAGCCGGGAATTCCAAAGGCTCTGGGTCGCTCCAGTCTGGAATTCCAGAGGGGCTGGATCCAACCGGGAATTCCAAAGGCTCTGGGTCGCCCCAGCCTGGGATTCCAGAGGGGCTGGATCCAACCGGGAATTCCAAAGGCTCTGGGCCGCTCCAGCCTGGAATTCCAGAGGGGCTGGATCCAACTGGGAATTCCAAAGGCTCTGGGTCGCTCCAGTCTGGAATTCCAGAGGCCCTGGATTGCTCCAGCCCGGAATTCCAGAGGCTCTGGATCGCTCCATCCACCCGCGCCAGCTCCCGGCTGGCTTTGCCCAGCTGGGCCAGAGGGCAGGGGACAGTCCCGGGACAGACACACAGACTGCGGCTCCACTGACCTGCTCCCAGCTCCGCTTCCCTGCCGGAGAGCTCCCGCATCCAATTCCAGCCTCTCTGGAGCTCCCGCATCCAATTCCCTCGGAGCCCCAGGGAACGCTGCTGCGCTGCCGGGATGGAGCTGCCGGGGCTGCGGACGTGTTTGCGAGCGTGCCCAGCGCTGCCACTCCCTCACACGAGGGGAGGAATTCCTTCCAATAGCTCCTTATCATCCTGGGAACCTCCGCTTCCCGGCAGAGGTCAATGAGTTACCCGGGGCTGGGTTAGAAACCGCGGCTCCCGCAATTCCCAGGCGCCTCCTTCGCCCGGCCGGGCAGGAAACAATTCCAGGGGGGCTCCATGGGCACCGTGTGCCCGTGCCAAGGGCTGGGATCTCCCTTCCCGGGCAGGAACAGCCTCTCCCGGCCTCACCTGTGCTCTGCTCGCAGCAGAATCCCGGGAGAGGCATTCCCTGGGGAATCCCAGCTCCGACACCCCTGGCAAAATGCAAATACAGGCACAGAACAACAGATCTGTGCACCCAGCAGTATTGGTGCTAAAGTCCGCGGCGCTGGAATCACGGGGAGGTTTTTCCTCTTGGAAGCGATGAAAATAGTTAACACCGAGATTTCCCAACGCGGAAACCATGAAACAGTTAACACGGAGGTTTCCCAGTGTGGAAATCATGAAACAGTTAACACCGAGATTTCCCGACGTGGAAGGGATGGAACAGCTAACACCGAGCATTCCTGAAACACTAAACACGGAGATTTCCTGACGTGGAAGGGATGGGACAGTGAACACCGACATTTCTCGATGTGGAAATCATGAAACAGTTAACACGGAGCTTTCCCGACGTTTCTGCTCCTTCTGAAGTCGGCCATTCCTTGGCAGGTTCAAAAACGAAGCCTCGTGGCTTTTCAGCTTGTTATTCCACACTGGAGCTGAAAGCAAAGGAAGTCAGCCCAGAGCCGGCTTCGCTGGAGGAAAAAGCAAACAGAAAAAGATGAAAGGTTTTGTTTGAGGCCAAAGGAGCCCTTGGTTCATGGTTTGATCCTCTGGTAGCCACTTTGGTGTGAGATGGAGCTGAGCTTTCCTGCCCTCCCTCTGAAATCCCGGTGGGGGAGGGCTGGGAGCTGGCAGGAGCACAGGGGACAATTCCTCAGGGACATTTCCTCATTCCAGAGCTCTGCCTTCGCTGTCACCCTGTGCAAATGGCACAGAGCAGCGATAAGGACCTGCCCCCTCCAGGTTCTCCCGGAATCCAGGACCCCTCGGGCTGCTCACCCAGAGAACCTGCCTCATGTCCCTCCATCCCTGGGTGGCTTTGGGACAGCATTTTCCCAGCTTTTTTGGCATTTGGGGCACTGGGGAATGGGGGGTTCATGCAGGACACACAGAAATCTCAAGGCTTTCACAGCCAAACTGGTGTGGCCTGAGTGCAGCCAGATTGACCTGGCCTTGAGACTTTTCTCCTCATTGATTGCCCTCCCTCAGGAATTTTCTTCCACCTCCAAGCCCTTTCTGAATTCTCTCAATCCAAAGCTGCTGCTCCTGCCCTGGGAATTCTGCTCCATCCCACAGCGAAGGGGTTAAGAGGGCTCTGGGGCTGAACTGAGCTGAACTCAGCGCTTCATGTTCAGAAATGCTGAGTCCTGCTCCTCTCGCATTGTTTTCAGCCAGGGGAGGAAATGAACCCTCCTGGAAAACTGCAAAACTGGGAAAGTGGAAAATGGGAAAACAGGAAAATGGGAAAACTGGGAAAGTGGAAAATGGGAAAGCAGGAAAATGGGGAAATGGGAAAACTGGGAAAGTGGGAAAACTGGAAAAGTGGAAAATGGGAAAACTGGGAAAGTGGGAAAACTGGGAAAGTGGAAAATGGGAAAACTGGCTCAGTGTGTGTTGGATGGATCCGTGTGGGTCTGGAGCCTTTGCCACACCAGGAGCTGCGGTTTGAGGTCTCCTCCCTGGCACTGGGATGGGAATCCAGGAACTCTCCCTGCTCCTGTCACCGTCACTGCAGGGCAGCAGCTCAGTGCCACAGCCAGGGAGCCTCAGACTGTCCCAGACACGGCCAGGGAAGTGAGGCTGTGCATGGGGCATGGAAGGAGGAAGAGAGGACAGAAGAGGGTGCTGGGAATGGCTCCCCAGGGATGGGCACAGCCTGAGGCTGCCAGAGCTCCAGGAGGGTTTGGACAGCACTTCAGGGATGCACAGGGTGGGATTTTGGGGCTGTGCAGGGTGAGGAGTTGCACTGCTGATCCTTCAGGTCCTGGCAGCTCAGGATTTTCCCATTTCCATGCATTTGAGGGTGAGAAGTGCATTCACCCTGCGCCAGGAAGGGCAGAGCTGCTGGCACCAGAAGCATCATCCCAAAGGAGCTCGTCCTGAGCTTTGCCATAGGAATGTCTGTCCCTGCCCTTCTCCCCGTGCCCAGTGTCCCCTCAGGGACATCGTGCCGTGTTGTGGGCTCGGTGTGACCTCCTGCAGCCC